CTTTTCTCTTTTCCAAAATCCTTTATGTGAGGTACTCTGTGTTCTGGAAGTTTTTTTGTATAATGCATGTAATTCAGAAAGCCACTTTATATTCATTCTGGTCAGAAAAAGTGCACCTGTATGGCAAACTGCAAGTATTGGGTGCTGGAGTCACCTGGTATTTTTCCCTTGGTAAACAGATGTTTATCAACAAAGCTTTCCTGTCAACCACACTACTAACTTTCAGAGGAATTTTAACTGGTTTTTTCTATTAAAATTGCGATGTGCCTTCAGAGTCTCTCAGTTTGATCCTAAATAAAAAACGTTAGAATTAAAATTGTGTAAATTTGTATTGTACTTTTAGATAATTAAAATTTACTTTCCTTTAAGTTGCAGTAAATAAAAATTGGATTCTTAGAGAATCCTAAGAAACTTAGTGTTGTTTTGTTTTGTCTTTTTGCTTTGTTATGTTTTGGTTTTCCCAAATGCACTCCAGTGAGTACTTGCTGTTCTTTTATCTTTAAAAATATCCTCCAGGGGTCAGCATTTACCATGTTATTTTTTTTGTTTAGTTACTTCAAAACAGTATTGAAAGGTGGGTGATTTTTTTATACAAACCCTTAAAATATTTCAAGAGAAAAAAAATAGTAGTACGCAGTATATAAAATTTTATAATATAGGAGAAATATGATTGCATAGTTGGAGTACTACTCCATCTTATTTAGTTTTAAGAGAAAGATTTTAAGACATCTATGCATTTCTCATTTGAAATTACCAAGGTAATACAGATTTAGTGACCAGAAGTATCCACTTTTTTTTCCTTTACAAAACAGTAGTTTTTTCATGGTTAGTTTTTGTTTAATTCATCTCCATGTTTCTGGGCTTTGTTTTTTAGTATTATCCTATAGAAGAAGTATTGGCTGCTGAATATTTGCTTGAAGAATTCAGGCCAGATTTAATAGAGATGGTACTGGATAAATTGAGACCAGAAAATGTTCGGTAAGTTAAACTGCAGTAACTTGTATTTTAACACAAACATTACAAGAAAGCATATGAACTAATGGAAACACAAATTCTTAGCTGTCTCTTACAGCTCCAAAGTAAATGTCACTGTAAAAGAGCTAGTTGTTCTGTGTGTCAATGTGTCTGCTCCCCATAGAAAATAAGCACTCGTAAGTGCGTTGCAACTCTTCCTGTTCAGACAGATATGTCTTTTCAGTCCTTTCTGTGCAGGATGTCTTCCTCAGACTGAAATAGTTTTTAGGAAGATACTTACTTGGAATGGCTGAACTGTTACTGAGAAAAAGCCTGGTAAAATTATCCTGCCTCACTAGAAATTCTTGGGATATTTTATATGGAATGCTCTAATATTCATAATTTGGAGCTTGGTCTGGAAATCTGTTAAGACAGTGGCTTTTATCTGCTGTATATATTTTATTTTCCCTATGGAGAGCTATGAAACTTTGTGCAGATTAGCGGACCCTCTGAAAAATGTCAATTTATTTAGGTAGAATAATTGTGTCTTTAGCTGCTAGCATCTCTCAGGCTTCCAGAGGATCTCTTTGATGTGAGTGTGACCATACTGCACGTGTGCTTTCTTTGCAGAGTGTGTTGCAGTACAAATTTCAGGGCTCAATAATTGATCAGATTAGATATTGAAAGGAAAAGGGGAAGCCTCTCTCTCTTGTGCTTTCGAGGATCTTCTGTTGTCACCCAAGCAGTAGAAAAGGGGGGGCGAAAGAACAACTGTACCTACTGTCTGTTTGAATACCTAAACAACAATAGTGTGACCAGGATGAGGGAAATAATGCTTTGCTGAGGTGATGATTTACAAGTGAAGGAATCTGGAAGCTGTGGAGAAGAAAATGAGGGCAGGTTGAAAAAAGGGGTTGAGTACTGATTGAGGAGGAGGAACAGCTGGGCAAATGGTTAACAAAGGGAGGAGGAGCCTGGGACAAGAGAGCTGGCAAAGGACATAGTGGGAGTAATTTAAGGCGGGATATTGGTACCTGTGGGGAACTGGTGTCTCAGTCAGGGATGGATAGAGAGGCTGGCTAGTGGAACAACGGGGGATGGTTAAGTGCAGATTGGACAAAAAAATGAGAGAGGGATAGGAATTGGTACTAGTAGGCAGAGTGAAGGTGAGAGAGCAAGTCTAAAAGAAAAGGTGGATATTCAACTGAGAGTCCTGGGTGGTGGAAACAGGGCAAACAGAAGGGGCAAAGAGAAGAGGTCTGATACAAGGAGCCTGAGGTAGGACAGGAGCAGACTTGATGGGACCAAACTTTGAGGAACTGAGCAGAAAAGCCTGTGCAGACTAAGTGCAAGTATAGTCTACAAAGGGCAAAGAAACTATGATTTACCAAGTCTTGCTATTTTGTTTTGCCTTCTGCAGATGTATGGGTTCCCCCCCCCCCGCCATATAACTTCTGTCTCAGTTCTTACAGCATAGGAATGTTCTGGAATTACATTGTAAGATGGCAGTACCATACATTGCTCTGCTTGACTTACCAGTGTAGTTGGAAGGTGTGTAATGAAAGTAACAGGAATCTGCAGAAAGAGAAAACTGGAGATTCAAGGTTAAGACTGTTTAATGCTGCCCAGGAGAACTAAACTCCTTTGCTTTGTCATATGCTTCCTAAATGGCACGAGACAAGCTCCTAAAACAAGCTTTTCAGAGCAAGCCAGTAATTACTCATTCCTTTGTATTTTCTTGAGTATGCCTAAGATCTTAACCAGAGGGATTGCTGAGCACCTGAATTCATAAACAGCTCAACAGAAACTTTGCTTTTAATCTGTGATGTACCATACAACATGAAGAGTTTTAGAAAAAGTCTTAAAATGAGCATCTAAACTGAATGGGTGCTGTATAACTTTGTGGATTTCTATATGCCTCGGCTTCCTATCTATGAAAATAATATTTCCTGGGATATTTTAAAGTATGAAATTAGTTCCTGTAACATGGAGTGCTGTGGAAGAGACATTTTAGTAATTTATTTATTTAGAGAAAGCGGTGAATATTGGAAAGAAATGAAGTCAGGTCATGCATTGAGCAAAACATATAAAATATTGAATAACTGTTTCTTAGTTGTTCTGTGCACTGAACAGGGCAGAGGTTCAGTTAGGACAATGTGTAAATTTTGATGCGTATATAATGTGGTACAGTCTTAATTACTACAAGGTAGCACAGGCAACAGTTATACTAGCACTTAGGAGCTGCGGTTTGGTTTTTTTTCCTAATTTATTTCTTTGAATATATCTTTTGTGTATATTGTAATAAATTGTAATATTAAATTAGTGGTGTAGAGGTATTATTAAAATGTATGAAAACACAGAAACGAGCTCTTGCTTTTGATTCTGTATGTCAGTCTTACTGTATCTGAACAGCTGTTTATCAGTGTTTTGGAAGCTGCATATATGATAGAAAAAATAATGATTTTTTTTGGTGGGTATGTTTCTGAATATGTTCCACACTGAAATTTTCAGACAGTGTTGGATATAGAAGGACAGCGTGGCACACATTCGTAGATTTCTAGATTTTATATATTTCAGTCTTCTGCAATTACTGTGAATTACTTAAAAGTTTGGAGGTCAGTCTTCATTATGTTTGTTTGTATGACAAAATCTGTCTTGTATATTGATTTAGTTTAAGATGCATGTTACTTTATTTTCAAACGATGGTGTGTTTCAAATAATTATTGCATAAAGCAGGATAAAATTGGATTATGAACTGTATTTGCGAATGTCATGGCGTTGTGGTGTTTCTAGGGATATACAAGTAATGATAAAATAAACAGAGCTGCCTGTGTCAGCAACAGTAGTTGCCATAGTAATAAATGCCCTTTAAAGAAGGGCCTTATCTTTCTGTGTGGGTGTGCATCTCTGTGTACTTTGTGTGGGATACTGCAACTGAAGCTTGAATATTTTGAGAGATCATATTTTGAACGAACAATACTTGAAAAAGAATTTCCAGGTTCTCTTTCCTGTTGTATTAAATACTTCTATTTTCAATGTGTTTTTATGTCGATCTATTGCCCAGCTTCTTGGAAATTTGATGCAAGAGCTTACCTGTCACATAAAGACTGTTTTTAGTAATTCAAAGAGAGACTATGTAATTACTACTTCTCTGAACAAAGCTTAACCAATTTCCACATGAATTTGAACTTTTAACTGGTTTTAGAATTGCTTATGAGCAATAGGTAAACCGTTTTTTTTATACTGATTTAGTAAACAAGCTACAGGTGCTTAATCAGATCTGATGTTTATTATAGTTTCACATAGCTTTAAAATGTGGCTCTTAACATTGCAAGAAAACAGTCAGTATTATCTTAGAGAAGGATACCTTTCGTAATGTAAATTGGGTCTTTGTTATTAGCCAGAGAACTTCCAAAGCATCTGCTTGCTTAAATTTTCAAAAATTGCTAGAGGAAATTAATGTATGTAATACATTCATAGACTCTTTAGTCTTATCAGATGCTGCTGGATGCCACAGACTTCTCATCAGTTTTCTCTGTTATTCCTGTTGCTGGCTATTCCAGCCTTTTGACGCTCACTTCCAGTTGACAGTACTTCAGCATGAAATAGCCGTAATTAACATTGTTCAAAAGTTGTTAGTGTGAGAAAGGGAAGTGGAGAGAGAGAGGAAAAAATAATTCTAAAAAGATATGGAATTTAGCTGTAACTTATTTGAAATGTTAGTAACCAAAGAAAATAATTGTTTACTGTTATATGTGTCTTTTATTTGTAGTAATTTTGTAGGGTTGCGTCAGTCTTCTTGCATTTGTCAAAATGACTTGCTGGTGATTCTCTATGCTTTGTATTTGTGGATTAATTTTAAATTTAAAAAAGTATTTTTTTCAAGATGGAACACATCTAGAGCAAATACCAACTTAATATTTGAAGCAACTGGGACGCATTGATCCTTCAGATAATGGAGATAGTTGTTTCATCTTGACTTTTCAAATTCAGCCTGTTTTGAATGCTGTGTAAGTGATTTTTTTAAGTAACAAAGTATAGTACATTTAGACTGGAGAGGCACGGTGGTGGAGGTGTTTTGAAAACTAAATTTGGTAGAATAGGTATGCTTTTCTGTACAGGAAGGTCTTAAAGTTCTCATGATGGAAGAGTGATGACAACTGAATCAAGAAAGCTTGTGATCAGAGAGGGATGGTCATCTAGTAACTTCTGTGTATGTGGATCTCCACGTAATCTTGGGCTTTAAAGGTCTCAGGTCTCGCTGTGCTTTCTTCCAGCTTGTTGTTACTGTGACACCTTCTTGGATTCTAGAAGGAATGTAGTGTTTAGTCTTCCCTTAGGACAAACCACGTTGTCTCTTTGCTTTACCTGGCTTAAGAAATAGTTTATAATGATTTGAATAAAAAAGCTAAATACTGGGAGATAAAGGGACTTTCAAAACTGGAATATACCTGGTTTTATGGCCTCTTCAGTTTGTTGTTAAAGAAATTATATATTCTTTTTGTTGCAGAGATTTTAGAAGAGCTTAAAGATACTAAATACAAGTGGGTTAGTTCTCTGAAGTGTAAATCCCCACAGCTATGCCTACAGCTGTCTGTCCTGTTAAGGCTTAAATATAAATACGTACAAACTAGAGAGTGACCAAAGACTAATTAAATGCAGTTCTAACAGCAGAATTCATCAAAGCACTGATATTCTAACATAGATCAAACGAGGCCTGTAGGAGGCCTATAATGATGTAGCAGCAGGCATACTTGGAGTTTGAATGTTATATGGTCAAAGTAATGATAAATGGATTGTTTATTATGTGTAGACTAAAGCCATGCTAGTATTTGCTATTGCCATAACAATGATACATTCACATCTTAGTTCTCTTTATGTTCAGACTGTCTTCTCCAGAAATACCTTATAAAAAGAAACCCAAAACATCAACCCAAATTTAAGATTGTGTTGTGTTGCTTTTTCCTGCTTCTCTAAATGATACATTTTTTCAGTGTAGACTCAAAAGTTACAGCTGTTGTTCT